CTAGTACTTGGAGGTCAGGAGGACGAAGACATAGAAGGGGTGCAGAGAAGAATTATTAGGAGTCGTTTGCGCTGAGTGTTCTCATCCTACGTGTAACGATAACGTGCAGGAACCAGGATCAATCACCGAACTACGCCGTAGTTCGCGGTCTCCTCTAATCCTTCGTGGGGGGTGGAACTCAAGAGGTTTCCTCACATTCGACGATCGCATTTATGTGCCGAACTACGCCGATGCTCGGCTGAAGATCATGAAGATGCGACATGACTCAGCCTTGGCCGGTCATCCAGGTTCGGCGAAGACCCTTGAACTAGTCCTGAGGGATTATGTCTGGGTTGGAGTAAGGAAGGATGTCGAAGATTATGTTGCTGGATGCGCGGTATGTCAGAGAGCGAAGACTAACAGGCAGAAACCTCATGGGGAGCTTAAACCACTGGAGGTAGCTACAAAACCTTGGTCTAGCATCTCGATGGATTTTATCGAGGAGCTGCCAAATTCCCATGGATATAATTCCATCCTGGTAGTGGTGGATCGGTTGACCAAATGGGCCATTTTTATCCCGACTACGACGAAGTTAACCGCAGCCGGCCTATCAGAGTTGATATTGGACTATGTGGTGGCCCAGCATGGGTTGCCAGAGAATATAGTATCGGACAGGGGATCGAAGTTTACCTCCAAGTTCTGGAAGAATTTGACCGATAGTCTCGGAATAAGACTACATCTCTCTACTGCATATCATCCACAGACTGACGGACAGACCGAACGAACCAACCAGTCTTTGGAACTGTATCTTCGAATCTTCACCTCCTATCAGCAGAACGACTGGTCAAAGCTACTCGCTCGAGCTAGCTTTGCTTACAACAACACCCAGCACTCTGCGATAAACAAAACCCCATTCTATGCGAACTATGGATATCACCCTCGTTGGGCTGAAGAGATAAAGGCTAGCGAGGTCAAAGTGCCCGCTGCTACGGTGGTGGTAAAAGACTTGACTGAAATACACAAAGATTGTATCGAAGGAATTGAGAAAGCTAATGAGAAGTACGCCGAAGGATACAATAGGAAACACCGGACTACGCCGAACTTCGCGGAAGGAGACCTAGTGATGCTGTCGTTAGAGAATATTAAGACGAAGAGACCAATGAAGAAGTTAGATGTTAAGCAAAGTGGGCCGTACAAGGTAGTACGGCAGGTAGGTTCTCATGCTTGTAAATTGCAATTACCAGGAACGATGGCAGGTATCCATGATGTATTCCATGTCTCCTTGCTCCGTCCTTATCACCCTCCAATATTTCCTGGTCAGCAAGCTGAGCCACCTGGGCCAGTAGAAGTAGACAATGTGGGAGAGTCTTGGGAGGTAAAGGATATTGTGGACTCTAGAGTAAATAAGAGGTCAGGAAAGTTAGAGTACTTGGTGGAGTGGTTAGGTTACGAAGGAACAGACGATTCAGTATCATGGGAACCAGTGGAGAACGTCGATGGAGCTGATGACATATTGGCGAAGTTCCACGAACTTCACCCTACTAAGCCGAAGGAAGGGCGACTGCGAAGGGCTAGGAGATAGAACGTACTGCATACAACATAGGATTACAGCTACGTACCGCTCACTTGTCCTTACTCTTACCCTTACCTTTTCCTTTTCCTTTCTCCTTCGATCTACTCGGTCCCGCGGGATTGGTGTGGAGGCTACCGATGACCGAAGGTAGATCGAGAGTCTCAGACGGGAACGCAGTAGAGAGAGAAGCATTCCATGCCCGATTCATAGCCCCAAAGAAGTCACCGAAGTCCTGGACATCTCGAGCAGCTTGCATGCTCGGGGTCCTCCACAGAGAACGTATGGTCCGTAGACACTCGAAGGGGAAGACTGAGGAGGTCGAGAGCAGTCTGGGCGGGAAGCTGGGGACACGAGAATTACTACGGGCGACCTAACCAGTCAAGGGACGGTGGGGGGCTCATACGCCATAGGAGTGACTAGGGAAGGGGTGTCGAACAGTCTTCGGCGAACATCGGCTATCTCAGTAGGCTTCGGCGAGAGACGTC